GTAAATGTTAATTTCAGCTCGCAACCTGATCTACACAATATAAGTATGTATATATTGTCATGGCGTCACGGCCAGCGAGTGGTGGTAGGCAAAAAGCTCGGTGGCGATTGGCTGATTTGCCCACCAATAATTTGCATATGTCCTCAAAACTTTGCCTGTAAAGAAAAACAGTGGTTGCTCGTGTGCTGATGCCCTGTGACGTTATCAACTGACGTTCTGAGAAAAGGTCATATTTTTCGTCTAGCCGGGGTGAAGGAAATGCCTCAGGCAACAAAGACTATTAAAACTGTGAATGAATAAAACAAGGACCGGACATCCGCGAGCAAAATGTAAAATTTCTACTTCTTGGGAAGGTTTTGTTTTCACTTGCGCTTGTGTGTTCGCAACTCAAGCTGTGTTTAAGTTAAATCACCCAAACCGCGATTCGGGTAACTCACATTCCTCACATCTGGTGAAACCGTGTCCGATCACAATTGGCTTGAGCTACATTTATTGTTGTTTGATGAAAACACGCAATTAACGTCAGAAGTCAACGATCTGCTTGCTGATGCCCCCCTCCCAGCGTATCTCGGCCGAATGCCGACGTAGTCCCGCCAGAAGCGGTGAAGCTAGTCCTAGAACGGACACATTATTTGACCATTACTGCTCCTTAAGTTGCTGCCACGTAAAAATTGGTATTGCATATAAATAAAGAAATATCACCCCGTAATCCATGACCAGGCGAAGTTACATTGAAATCACATTGCGTTCAGACGCAAATCGCGATGCGGAATAACCTATTCGAAACCACCTCTAGAAGTGGTTTGGGATAGAGGTGCTTTCAATGTGATTTAGGAGCGTTCACATGGAGCCACTTGAAACCGGCTTCGGGGTAAACCACATGTAAACCGCCTTGGGTGATTTCACTTAAACACGGCCTCTGACTGGACCCCTATAAAGTATACGGCCATGTTGATTTGATTATATGGATGGCATCCTCTGGGAAGCCCAAAACTGACGCTAGGGTGCGAATAAAAAAAGTTTGGCAAAAAAAATTCCTTCATATGTTTTTGTGTGTGCAAATAGGTATATTGGCGAACGAACAGATACAAAAAAGCTCCGTATCTAGTACAACTGTTGAATATGTGATTGATCATTGGACTTAACAGCGCTCGATCCTGACATGAAAATGTAAATACAGTATTGATACATGTCCTTTTATATATGTATACCAGTATACGCGAGTACGTAACTTTATATATACTAGTTTTTATTTCTTTCTGGGGACGAAGTATCGTCCTGTCATGTATTTATCCCCTGTGTTGGTGGCGGCATTAATATTAATATATTATATGTTGAAAAAACTTGAGTGTGCCGTCACAACGTCTGGTGATTACATGTTAAAAAAATTATGTCTCCTGAACTGAAATATGATTTTTATGATAAAGTGACTTACTGTTAATAACTACGATACGTGAAAATTTACAGATCTGTACTTTGTAAATATCAACAAAATTCAGACTGATACAAAATGTATGCCTGATCATTAATACGGATTAATCAATTAATTCATTTAATTACTCATATTAATCAAAGAAATGTTTAAACCATAGAACTACTAGTATAAGTGATAGGACAAACCCAACATGTCGATCTACGTACTAAGTAGCCTAATTCATTTGCAGCTGACGGAGGGCATCTTGCGCAATTCTCAATTATTGCAGCACAGTAAACGCCAGGGACGTTCAAGTAACATGTAGAGTAGATGTAAACGTTTTGGAAGGCAACAGTAACCTCTATACGAAACCTTAATAAAATACTCCTGTTTTCTGTGTAAGGCCACAGCAAGTAAATTTTATGGATGACATCCTCCGCAGACTCCAAATCTAATGCGAGCGGGCGAAGAAAAAAAAGGCGGGCCGATAAAAAACAAGGTTCCTACATTTTAAAATTTTGACTCAATCATTGTACAAATAGTTTTGATTCAGTGGGAACATCACATATACACAGCCAGCATCACATATCACTGTATCAAAGTAAGAAACAAAACATTAAATCAGAGCATTTTCTTGTCTCTTCTCTTCATAGATATCTGCCATCCACCTTCCGGCATGGCAACAGACGTCTTTACCCATTTTCGGCATGTTGACCACCGTCAGAAGGCAACAAAATTTCTTGTTTTTCTTTTTCCATAATCAGGCAAAAATCAATGCGCGCGCTGATGTCATCCATAAAAATTACTTGCTGTTTCCTAAGTTAGTATATTTGGACATGAAGTGACACACTGCATGCCATTTATTATTAAAAGATACTAATAAGACAGTAAAGAGAGTTAATTCGAAAGACTATATGTCCTGCTCATTTATATAGGCCAATTTATACACAAGGCCAAACTGACTTAATTTTACGAATGACATCCTCTGAAGAACCCCAAACTGGTGCGCGGTCGAAAAAAAAATCCAGCCAAAAAATGCTGCTTAGGCCACACCGATTTTATTTTATGGATGACATCCTCTGAAGATCCCCAAACTAGTGCGTGCGGGCGAATGAAAAAAAAATTCCGGCCAAAAATAACAAGAAAGGTGTAAAAAATACACCTAGGCGACGAATTGTATATTATGTAAATTAGGGTATTATCAATTTAATTTATTTTTATTATATGTACGAATTGGAATACTTCACTTCATAAGCTACATGTACATATATGTGCCTGGTTATCTACATGTCGGCAATCGACCAATATCGGGTCCCCATTCTTAGCTCGGTGTTTGTTGCTATTGTTTAGATTTAATTCCAATCTTTATAAATATTTTTAAAGGGATATCTTATGTTTTACAAACATTTCAAACTTGTTCTTAACTTCTTAAGAAATTTCCGTAAATTACAAAACATTCGAAATATTTTTGAGTCCGCGAACGATATTTCCAATGATTTCTAAAGAAAGGCAACTCGGTTCGACCATTTTTTTTAATTTTTGTAAATGACCCGTGACGAAGTAATTTGCACATCAACACGAAGTGTTATGTGAGCCAAAAATAGGAATCGTTGATGAACCCTGATGAACCCCATTGATACAGAAAACAAGTGCCAAACCGTACGCTGCTTTTAATAAATCTCAAACTCTAGTGAAACATCAAATCCTTTCTGTTGTACCATGGTTGTACAGTCCATCCATATTTCTTGAGATAAAAAATAGGTACCCATTCACAAAAACGCCTGTAAATTCATGGATCTTTCTCGCACAGTATTACGTAGATCTATTACACGGCGCCGAAACATGTCAAAATACACTCCGTCTTCCCTCTCGTCAAAAACGCCGTCCGTGCAAGTCATGTGTGCTTCCAAATAGTCCGCGGAAACCGCTGGCATATTGCCGGTAGCTCGGGCGATCGCGATCTTCGGTCTGCATCGGCGCGTGTGACGTCATGATCGGGCTCATTTGTATGCAGGCGTCTGCCTTTTGACTACATGGACTACAAAGGACGCCACCGGAGGGCGTAAACCCAGATGCCGCGGGTGAAACTGCACATCAAGTAAATACGAAGTTTGGCTGGTAAAAAAAAGGAATTAAAATTAAGATCTCAGTTGATTGCCACTTTCTAAATTTTTGCAAATTATGACATTTTCGAAAACATGCTACTCAAGTACGTACATTTTTATAATAATTTCAGAATATTTATAATATTTTCAAAATAAAAACATTGAGAAAATATTAAAGGTATTATTTTAAAAAACACGCGGTGACTTGGAATGGACTCTATAAGAGCGCACGTACAGCACATGAATCCAGATAAAATCTATCAAAAGTTGTAAGACATAAAAGAACTACTTGTGATGAAAGCTCCTTGTATAAAGTCAGTAGGAACAAAGATCACTGGATACCGGTACGGTGATCATTATCTAGTCTACCGAAGCGATCCTTTTCTCCACCGCTGCAAATTTTACATGCCCGGTCAATTCAAGCGGCCGTTGACCTTATATAATAGAAAGCTCTGGACTCTGGACGCTCTGGACTCTGGATCGATACGCAAAAACCATATGTATATCATATACATTATCATTATGTGCATAACATAGCATATTGCTCTGTCGCTGTGTGTATATTCTGTAAGGGTAGGAATAGGCTATCAAACCCAAACCTTTTCGCAGGTTCTTGATTGTCAGAAAAATGTTTATGAAAGCCGTTATGAACCCCCAATGCTGCAGATATAGGCGTGCTTGTAGGTGCTTGTATTATATCCTGGATGCTGTCCGTGTGCTGGTTCGCAAACAGGCCACGGTCACGAGGTCTGGTTTATAGATGTGTTGTCCGCCACACACGTTTGCGGGGACACCAACATGCATCCAAGGTTGATAAATAAATAAATAGAGTGACCACAGATACACTCGACAGAAACGTACAGAACGACCTTATAGAGGTAAAGTTGATCCGCGAAGATCAGGCGGTTCCACAAGTGTCATCTGTTGTTGTTCTGTCGAATTGAACGTGTTGCGGTGCGTAGATAAGAGCGCTCCTTGGTGACATTCGTTGTTTCCGATTCCGAATGCAGAAATGTATGTCCAGATACTAATATTTGCTATACACTTGATCTGGCCTGTCGTTCACAATTGACTTTTTCAGTGACTATGTCTTTACATAGCCTCTACCAGACTCACAACGCTGGCTATTTATAGTAGAATATTTGCCAGGGGAGTTTGACCGCCTTGTAGGACCTTGTAGGTTTGACTGGCCTTCGGAGGGAAAGATTTAAGGGAGTCATTTAACTACTAGTACCTCCTCGCGGCCGGACTCCCTTGGCCAATTTTAATATCTTTTTCCCCCGAATTCTACGATCCGTATTCCCGTAGAAAGGTCTGGTGGAGGCTAGTTTTTATATGCCTCAAATCGCCGCGTCACAATGTAACGTTGGATGCACTTTTGTCCGTTTCTGTTGGCACATATTTTTCTTTGTAGCGGTTTTAGGACAAACAGTAAAAGGAAACACAACAGAAGAAGAATAAAGACTACACATTATTTTATAATCTTCCATGGGTATTATCGTTATACTAAATAAATGGAACCCGTCATTTCTTTTCGGCAGCGTTTTGGAATTTGAAAAGGCTTGCGCTGTGGACATGTGCTCATGTTGGTAATATAAGGGGCTTTACGTTTCACTGGTTTCGGGGAAGGTTTCTGTTTGTTTGCACCGCCGCTACAAGGACTACAACAACAAGCTTGACCCCTTTCGCACCATCCCATACAGTGACCCTGGCCAGATGGCCGGACGTTGCCTCGCACAAGTTGTTGTGGTCAGCAGAAATGTAGTTAGATAATCGTATTCATTGTCTTGGCCAATCAGGCGTAATTGTCTTACAATTAGCAATATTTAATCCCTCCCAGATATTCCAAACATGGACAGAGCTGGCAAAACATGTTAATAAGGATGTGTCCTCGTATAAATATCACCGCGACCTACTTGCCGACTCATTACGCACGGAAAAAAAACCCCACGTCCATCGGCGGCGTGACCCCACGACCAGGCCGCGGGACGTGGAGCGCGGGTAGCCCGGCCAATCTGGAGCAGCGCACGGTCGTAGAATGCAGGCAGCCCCGGCCAACAGCGCGCGGACGTGGAAAGCGGGTGTCCCGCGACCCGGTCAACCCTCGCCGGAGCAGCGCGCACACCCGGAAGGCCCCCGGATTTTAGTCGTGCAGGCACGGAGGTAAGCCCAAACTTGAGTAGGTTGAGACTGTTCTTTTAATATTGGAACCATGCCATATGTAGTGTGTATTTGTGTCCACGGTCTTGGTTCATGTTGCCTTCTTACGTGTACCATCAAACGGTGTATTATTTTGGTTTAAAGTTTTTTTTGGGTAATGTTATGATTTTTTTGGTGTGCATGTAACATGTAAGTTGTTCCATTTCGATCAGTCCGTTTTTCTATGCAGTCGTTCAGGCTAGGTGACATTGTCTCTGAGCGGCCCCACGTTCTGCTCGGGTACCGTCTCTTATTTTGAAATTTAAAGAATTGTTGTTCACACCGGCGTCCTGACGGTTCTGATACCGTTTCGTCCAAATGTTTTCCTTCGCTGTCAATCGTTGTTGTAAAGCTTGCGTAAATAACTCATTAATTTCGTTTCTACACTATGATAACCCTTTATACTATTCTAAATGACGTACCCACTAAACTTAGCCTGTTGCGATTCTCTGGCTTAAAGTAAGTGTTGCCCCCAGCTTCTGACAACAGTGATTTTCCCCACAGTTCCCGACAATGTCAACGTGAAAAGTTCTAGTGGTTTGGGGGAAATTGGGTCACAGAGTAAAGATGAAAACATTCGCCTTTACATTTGTTGAGGATGTAGAACTGGTTTCTCAATAAGATTATACAAGAAGAAGCGCAGGCGGGCGTCCATGACCGTAGATATACCGGGGAGGCTACGTATATACGGTGCTAGGGCGAATAATCGTTCCGTTGTATTTACAATCAGTTCCTTGACTCTGCTTCATACGTTTTGAGACTGACAGTTAATCGTTTTCAGAAAAATCCGCGCCTTGTACCGTCACATTCATATATGCCCTGCTATCACCATGGTACATCGCGTGGATCATTTCATTTCCCAACAGCCACAACTATCAACTTTAAAACAATCATTTTAAAAACTTTGCTTTGACTGATGTTGTGGTTTGAGTAAACAAGGAAGCGATTCGAATCTGCTGTCTCGACGGGGTTGATTGGACGGGGTGAGAGTATAGAAGAAAATTCGCCCTTTGTCTGTACAATAATTATATACTAGAATAGGGTACTTGCTCATTAAATCTTTTGGAACTTTCCCTACTTTTGCTTTTTGTCGGCTTATAATATCAGCGGTTATAGGAAAGGTGAGTTCGCTATAATTAGAAATGCATAATGCGGATTTGATGGCCAGTAAGCGGCAAACCATACGGGTCTGTTGGTTACATCATCGTACGATATTAAGAAAGTACGTGGCTATTGACACACCCCTTGTGGATATAAAATATTTCTCTTTCCTTATTGACACACCCGGTGTGGATAGGGATTTTTCTCCTTATCGATTCACTTGGTGTGGATATAAAAAATTATGTTCTTATTGACACACCCGACGTGGATGTATTTTTTGTTTATTGACAATCCGGTGTGGATACATCCTAACCCTAACCCTTAATGATTGATGCACTTAAACTTTGCTGCTCTGTACGCATGTCTTCTTCCGCGGTCACGCTGAACGCTGTCGAACTATGCAGAATAACGCAACCCTAGAATATAACAAACTTCGTTAACCTGTTCTACACTGTTTCTTTCAGCTCTACATGACGACAAACACAAAAGTTACTCAAGAATACAAGACAGAAGAAGTGGAACAAAATACCAGGTGAGTGCCCAACCATCCTTATTATACGCAATATTGTGAATAATCACGATAGTTAGGCAATGTTCACATCTCTATAGTACTTCTTTCACGATAAGCTGTGTAAGTTTTGAAAAGTACCATGCTTTCGAATTCTATGATTAATGATTTCTGGGAAAACAATGTAGCCTGGGTACCAGGCCCCCGTGCCATGATTCAGTTAAATTACATGATAGGACTACTAAAGCATGTGGCATATGTAATTGCGAACGAGAAAAACACAGGCAGATATTATGTAAATTAAGATTTAATTTGCATAATTAATGAGAAATTCAGCAATGTTAAAAAACTGTTAATTTCGTTCTACAGATCTCGCCTAAATGACACATTTTCAACCGACAACTTATGCACCTGGACCACTACCTGTCGTTGCCATAATTGTTTAGTGATTTGATTACTCTTTTTGATTGTTGCTTGTTTGTTTGTTTGTTTGTTTTGTGTCTATGTTTCTAGAGGAGTCTGCCTAGTAGAGGAACTCTATGTTCCTGTTGCCGGCTCCTCTCAGAATTTTAATTTCTGTGAAGTTGATTAAATAAATAAAATAAATGTTGTAATTCAGCAATGGTAACTGCCTGGAATTTCATACCTAGGGCATTTGAAAGTTAGGTGAAGGTAAACATCATTAAATCACATAACTTATTAAAATATGGACCTCATTTGCTTTTCTCTTTTTGTGTCCACAGGTAAATTTCGCCATGTCTCACCCTGAGATGCAGACTGCAGCAGGGATTCACTGGCAAGCACGAAGCCCAGTCAAGGAAGGATCGGGGTGTGCATTCATGTTTTGCACGCAAGAAGATTGAAAAACAAGCATTGAATGCAGCAGCATCGTGAAAGCAAAGAAAAAATAATGAATAAAAAAAGCAAGACTGACACAAACACGCATGGTGGAAAACACACAAAACATCATCATTAGCACACAGTTAAGTTATAAATAAAAGCCCAGCATCATATGGTTGAAGCTAAAAACTTACTTAAAACATTATTCTTTTAAGCTTGAATATGCTGCTCCTTGTTCTTTCTTATGAGCAACAAAATTATTCTGTTTTATTTTATTCTATTTTTTCTCTCTTGATAGAAGAGAACATATTTGAAATATCAATAAAGACAATCATTAATATTCTGTGTGCAAAAAGCCACAGTTGGCCGGAAAAGGTGCCTTTTGCATGCATGGTAACATAGGCCTTTCCTACTTATAAAGTATCTAGTTATCGACTGACAACTAAGCCATTAAACTTTAAACAAAAGACTTCTGCAAAAGATCAACCATCACTTTAGATATCCCTACTTGCTGTGTACAAACACAGAGTCATTCAAACAAGTAATTCCCTAGGGAATGCATTGACGGAATTTTTAGAATATTTTCAACTCGATCGCAGTACTATACTAACGGCTCCGCCCCTGAGGCGTCGCCAAAAATGCTACTAAACCACAGGAATACTTGCTGGTATTGTGAATATGCGGCAGTACTTAGCGACGTATACGACAAGCCGGCACATGTTGAATTTATAAAATTATTCGGCAGTGTACGTATGTACTGAGTTCTTGAGCCGTGGAGCTTCGAATTCGATAGCCTGGGTGCCCGGCTCCGTATTGTCGCTAACTACCATGGACTACCCAGGCTTAGAGCAAGGCCAGAGCCTCGGGGGACGTGATTTTTTTTGAGGGCGACAGGCGAAAATCAATGCGCGCGCGGATGTCATCCATAAAATTAAGTCGGTGTGGCCTTAACTACAGGTTTGACTGCCAAAGATAAAAATTTCGTTTTTGCCAAAATGAATGGAAAACTTTTATTAGGTCTCTAATTATTAGGTTATGAATTGACAAGTGTTTAGAAACAAATCGCAAACATTTATTTCAAGATCATCTTAAGACTCCTTAAGAGCCACCAATGCACAAGAGCTCTAATATACACTGAAAACAAGAGCCTACTCCTTTCCACCGATACACAATTAAGAAAAAACCAATTAGGCCACACCGACTTAATTTTATGGATGACATCCTCTGAAGACCCCCGAAATAGCGGGCAAATAAAAAAAATCCGGCCAAAAATAAAAATGCTACTAAACCACAGGAATTATAATACAGCGCTGGTATTCTGAATTTGTACAAAGCGGCGTATAGACTACAAGCCGGCAAATGTTGGCTTTTTGTGGAATTTATGAATCGGCACTGTAGGTATGTACTGAGTTCTTGAGTGGTGGAGCTTCAGTAGCCTGGGTGCCATCTTCCAGAGTTACCACCGGCTCCGTTTTGTCGCTAACTACCATGGACTACCCAGGCCTAGAGCCAGGTCAGAGCCTCGGAGGACGTGATCTTTTTTTTTTTAGAACAGGCGAAAATCAATGCGCGCGCGGATGTCATCCATAAAATTAAGGCGGTTTGGCCTTAACATATCCAGGATGTTAAGACCCTCTTAGGTCCCATCCTGTTTTTAACACTCATTGATGACGCTGCCAACGACTCTCCGTGCCCTGTCTGGAAGTACGTTGACGACATGAACTTACTAGAGACAAGAACTTTAAGCCAACCTTCCATGCTACAACATGCCCTCGACGATCTGAACCTATGGACACAACGTAACCACATGCTCCTGAATGGAGGAAAATGCCTAACCATGCATGTGACCTTCACCAAAAACCCACCTCCGCCACCCCCTTTGCTAATCAATGAGACGGAGCTAGCTGTTGTCCCGAGTCTGAAAGTGCTTGGTCTTCACATGCAAAATGACCTCCATTGGGACGATCAGGTGAACAGCATGGTAACGAAAACGGGCAGAAAACTCTTCCTCCTTAAACGACTGAAGAAGTTTAACCTACCTGAAGGTGACCTGGTGGCGATATACATCGGGTATGTTAGGCCAATACTGGAATATGCAGTTCCAGTCTGGCACTCAGGCCTAACTAAACGCCAGTCTGATCAACTGGAGCGGTTACAGAAAAGGGCGTGCCGTACAATCATGGGGAAAGACTACTGCGGGTACTCACATGCTCTACAGCACCTCGGACTGACAACACTTGCCTCTAGGCGTGAACAGCTGACTCTGAAGTTTGCTAGGTCCTTGCTAGGCTCTGAGTTCAGGGACTGGCTCCCACCACCTAGGGCTCAGATCACAGGAAGAGTGACACGCAACAACCACAAACTGAACTGTCCGAAAGCCAGAACGAAAGCGGTACTTGAACTCTTGTGTGCCGTACATGACAAGACTTGTAAACCAGCACGGACAGTAACCCTTTTGTAATGTGTGTGTATAATTTGTCCATATTTGTGAACTTTAATTCATTCCTGCTTTTAATGAATTCCACCTTTTAATGAATTCCTTATCTTTGAATTGTAAATTGGTTTTAATTCAGTGGCAACACTGCGATTTCCAATAAAGAGATCTTGTATCTTGTATCTTGTAGGATGTGAGACTACGTTGATAGTAAATTGAGTTTCAGACTCTTCTTCTAGATCTGCATATCATTTGCATATGAACTTGCATATGAAAATTGTATATTCATGTCGCCACATTAATGTACTATATTTCAATTATGTACTAAATTTTAATTATGTACTATATTTTAATTAAGGGTTAATGGCCCGCCCCGAGGTGAATATGGTGTGATGAAGCCTTGCCAGTTGCTATAACCACCGAATAAAGCCATCGAGTGAGCGACAGCGAAATCACAAAATTCACATGTATTGACATGGTCTTTATTTTGTTATGTACTGCTAAATAAATTGGATGATGACAAGACGGTAAACATTTCTATTCAACAAGGAAACGTGCTACAAATGTCAGCAAAAAGACTCAACTCCCCTGCAAATGGTTTGCTCCGGGCCGTGCTTTATTGTGCAACAAAGCACACTTGTGAGAGTAAAACACACCTGGCAATACTTGTATCATGCTAACTGTGACATTATGGCGTCATAATCAATATGGAATGGGGCTTCTGATTGGTCAACGCCACCTGGCTATATGATAATCAATGATAACATGTTGCATTTTGTTGTTAATCTGCTGAATTTTTAACTGTTGTAAAATTACAACACAATTCAGGCGTTTCTCCTGCCATGTTGTCTTTATCAAATAAAGTTCAAGTTCAAATAGTCATGAATAAGTTTATTGCTAACCAATATGAAACAAACAACGATAGTAGATTGTTACATTCAGAAGCCTTACGAACACAGACAAATGTAACAGCTTAATATATACAATATACTGTGACGTGTGTATATAGGTGTGTGCCTTTGTATACAAGCTAGTTTAAACTATCCAAACATTGAAGAACGTAGGCTGCTAATAATGTCAACTGACGTATTAGTACTCACAACTTTGAAAATTTTGAAAAATGAACCTTCTAAAATGGCATTTCGTGCATTTTTGAGAGGATTTCCAAGAAAAAATCAGAGATAAATTTTTAAAGGGAGCAGTTTTTCTACGATTCCAGTCCATCTTTTCAAGAAAAATCTTGGACCTTTACATAAAATGTGGACCAAAAAGTGGACCTTTACATAAAAAGTGGGCCAAAAAGTGGACCTTTGAGCCTTGGGGGGGGGGGGGGGGGTTGTACCTCGCACCTTTTCCCTTCCTCGCGAGCTCGACGAAGGTAGTATGCTAAAGCAAACATGTACAAATACACGCAATACGATACATACGTAATCAAACAAACATTTCTACAGTTGATGTTGACAGTCACATTCTTCTTCTGTCGCTGTTCTCTATTTATCTTTCAAAAGATATCATCCTTAGAAATGCAAAGTTCAAAATGTGCTAGTTTTGTTCGCAAAGCTCCTGCATCATTGTGTCTACATAATTTTGTTCGTCATCTGGGGAAGTGTCTTCTCTAATTATCTGAATGCAACAAATAAGCTAGACGACAGGAACTGTGCCTAAGATTCGCAACTTCACTTGCTAACTCTGATAAGTACCATGAATGGTTGCCACCTAGACGGGGCGATACTCACCTCAGAACTCTCAGAAATAGTAACTCTTTTACCCAGTACAAATGCAGAACTGCCAGGTATCAGAACAGCACTTTTCCCCTCTGCGTACGACTGTTAAATGATGACATGTAAATATTTGTGCGGCCTCCATGTATATAGAATCTCACCAATTGATATGTCTGGAATTTTATAATGAATGATCGTACCTTCTTGTTTTAATCTATGTGATAAGAATTTTGTATTATGTTGTCAATGAGCCTAAGATGAATGAGTTGTTAAAGAACCACAATTCAGCCTATGTAAGGCTGACAGTGTTTTTATCCTCAATAAACCAAACCATTTCATCATCATACAGTGCTGGGTCTCAGACCTGTTATAACGTTCTCCCAAACGTCATATGACCTTCTCTTTGGGATACGGGGGGCGGTACCGACTTCCAATTAACCTTTGACCCATTCTAGTAGGCACTAGCAAACCAAGAGTTCTATGAAGCGTCTCTCTCTTCATTATCCCCGTTGTCGGGGGTAGTACTAGTATCTCCTCCATCTCTCTGATTGTAACATTTGCACTGTTCTGACCTGGATGTCGGACCGGCGACAGTGTTCTCTCCAACACTACGCGACCTTTTCTTCCCACGGCCGTACTGGGCACCTGCCTTGGCTATCCCGTACGGGCTAACAGTTTCGTCAAGGTCTTCATCCTTTATCGTTGAGTAATATGGGTCAATAGCAGTGCTATCGGCGGTAGCTCCGTCAGCCTGATTTTCGTAGGCATTACCCGGTTGGTTGTTACTTTGCAGTTCTGCCATCGCGTGTTCCTCCCTATAGACATTCTGTTTATTCCGTAGAGCAATGCAGACTGCGAAAAGGACAAGGAAGGGTACTGTACACAAGGGAACATAAACGTACCAGTT